TTGTGGCTGCCCCATCCCTGGCAGTGTTCAAGGCCAGGTTGGATGAGGCTTTGAGCAACCTGGTGTAGTGGAGGGTGTCCCTGCCCATGGCAGGGGGGTTGGAACTGGATGATCTTGAAGGTCCCTTCCAACCCAAACTGGTCCATGATTCTGTGATTCTTTACCTCCAAGAGGGCAGGAGCAGGAGGCAGAGCCAGGCCAGAGGCTGCAGCCAGACGCACACTTGCTGGCAGGAAGGCAGCACTGCCCCTTCGCCTGGAGCTGGAGGGGGGCAGCCAGGGCACACTGCCAGGCTGCAGCCTTCCTGGCCACAAGCAGGCAGGGATCAGACAGGCACAATCCTTGGTCCTTCCTGCCCAGCAAGGACACAGCTCGACCCCTCCAACTGCAAACATCCACCATGGATGGGAGCTGTGGGCCACAGCCCCTCCTTCCCCCTTCCCCAAAAACTACATCTGCTTTCTACAATCCATTTATTTAAAGAAATTCAACCTTAAAACCACACCTGGGGGCCAGCACAGACCTATAGAGCACAGCTCCAGCCCCTGGTGCCCCCAGACCCCCAACACCTGGCAGCTGGGGGCATGAAAGCCCAGTCCCCAGCACGGCTCCTGCCTTCCCTCCCTCGCCGCAGGAGGGGTGTGCAGCTTCTCCAGGGTCCAGCGCATGGCCAAGGGGGTCCATGACTGCTCTCCCGCGGGTGTGAGAGCACGGCTCCGGTGCCCTGACCGGCATGGTGCAGGCAGGAGGAGCTGCCCACCACCTCACTGCCGGAGCTGGGGGTTGGTGCACAGCAGCCACTCGATAGTTTTCAGCAGGTAGGTCATGCCATAGTGCCGGGCGATGTTCCGGAAGACAGTGATGTGCTCCATGAAGGTCTGGGGATAAAAGCAGTGAGGAAAGGAGGTGGCCCAGCACCCCTGGGTGGCAGGCGGCTCCAGGGGGTGGCCGGGCAGGGCTCATGGGGCAGTGGGCAGCACAGCAGGTCCCAGGGGACAAGCCATTAGAGAAGAGGCAGAGGAGGAACAGGGCTGTCCCTCTAGGAGCTGCCGGCATGGGGCTGGGCTAGGCAGCAGGGTACAGGCATACCTGGGCAGAGATGGTGAGGGCAAAGTCTCCAGCACAGCTGCAGTACACGGGCATGTGCGTCTCCTTCACACCACAACACTTCTTGCACACCTGGAGGCCAAGGAGTTTTAGGGGGGCCAGGAGCTGAGGCCAAGTGAATGTGCCCAGCCTCCGCCAGCCCTGGGGACAGGCAGGGGATCCCCACACCCACCAGGTCCTGCAGTACAAAGGCCATCAGCTTCTTCTGCAGGGCTTCCACCAGCGCTGTTTCGATGGCGTCGGAGTCATACTGCGTCTGGCAGTTGGAGCAGACCCAGCTGGGAAGCACCGACCCATCCTAGGGGCAAAGAGGAGGGAGGTGAGCACCAAGAGTCCCAAGCACTGGGATGGTGTAACCAGTTTCTGGAGATGATGGACCATCAGCCAAAGCCAAGGGATGCCCAGACCTGTCACAAGCAGCTAGAAAGGGAGGTGAACCTTTGGGGAAAGTGGCCTTTAGGTGAGGCTGAGCACCGGCAGCGAGCACAGCTGCAAAGCAAAGGGGTTGAGAGAAAAGGTGGGTAACGCGACAGAGCAGCCTCCAGCAGTGCCGTGCTGGTGCCGCTGGTGTCCCCAGGAGAGAGGCTGCACCTGAGAGAGGGCAGGGTCCTTGCACAGGTCCAGGTCCCTGCAGAAGTTGCAGTTCCTGCAGATGACTTCAGGAAGCACGTAGGAGCGGCAAGGGTCCCGAAACTGGGCTGCTTCTGAGAACTCGCCCACCTCGATGAGGCGCAGCAGGTCCCGGCGCAGTTTGTTCACCTGGTTGGTTATGTTGGCATCCAGGGAGAGGACCTACAAGAATAAGAGCCAGATGAGCCTACCAGCAGAGAAGAAGAGAGCTTCCTCACCAGGACAGCTCATATCCTCGCGACCTCATGTGGGTGCAGGGCAAGACAAGCTGGTGGTTGTCGATCACCCCTGGAGGAAAGCTGCAGCAAATCTGAGCCATAGACAAGGACCAGAATTTGAACCCTAATCACAAACCTTCAGAAAAGGGCCGTGGCCCACCTCGCTGACCTTGCAAACGTATTTGATAAACTCCAGAGCCGGGTTGTTGAGTGGCAAGTAGGAGCCAGGCAGCACTGGGAACATGTCTGAAGGCTCAGTGGCGTTACGAGAACCGGCCATCTTCTTCTGGATCTTCTGGGTGATGGTGAAGAAGCTCTGGGTGAGCTCATTGGCCACGTAATCCTGCGAGAAGGTGATCATGCCTAGAGAGGCGGAGCAGAGAGCACTTGAGCTGTATGGTGGCACAGGGGGACAGCAAGGTGGGTGGCTCTCTGCCTGCACCAGGGCTGCCCCATGGCTTGGCACTCACCGGGCATGGAGCCCATCTCCCCCAGCGCCTCCTGGGACACCTGGCTGGTGCTCCTCCTCTTGACGGGGGTGCTCCCAGGGGCATTGCGCCGCAGCTCCTCCTTCATGCTGTGGTACACGGCCACAATGTAGGCTGGGGAGACATGGGCAAGGCTCTAGCTCCAGCTGGCCCCAGCAGCCGCCCCGCTGCAGGCTCTCCCCGGCACCAGGGAGGCACAAGCGAACCCGTTCACTCCCTGGGACAACTCACCCGACACGATCATCAGGAAGTAGCTCTGGCAGGAGGCGGCCTGGGGCAGGAACTGTGCGATATTCCAGCTGTTCTCCAGCAGCTCCTCCATGTTCGGCTCCCCTTCCTCCTCCTCTTCTTCCCCCACTGCCGCCTCCTCCTCTTCCTCGCTGTTGTCCTCCTCCGACGCTTGCACGTTGCTGGTGTCCTTCTGGAGGGGCGAGTGATACCACAGTGGTTCCTTGTGCCCAGCCAGCACCTCTGCTCAGCTCGACCCCCAGCACCTGCTCCTGGGGTACTGAGCGTTTCTCATCTCTTACCTCCCCGTAGTGGACGCGAGGATCCACTTTTCCCTTGATACCTCCATAATTTGCTGGATCCATCCAGAGCAAAAACTCCCAGCAGCGGGAGAAGGAGATGGTCAGAGAGTGGAAGATTTCCTTGGAGTGAATGCTGGAGGGAAGAGACTGCAGTCACCCACAGCATTGGCATCGTCCCTAGTTCAGAGCCTTCTCCATAGGACACCACGGGGAGGAGGTGCTGCTGGCAAGGAGAGAGGGGGTTCCCCTCTCCCAGCCAACCACTGGTGGGACCCCAGGAGAAGCCGTACCGAGGAGTCTTGGCCCCCTATGCTTGTGTCAAGGTGCCTGTACCATGGCTGGGATACTGAGAGCCAGGCAGGAGATGAGGTGTCGGGCACCTCAAGTTCTCCTGAAGGTCTCTTCTAGATTGAATCCTGTAAGTATTCTTGGAATATTGCCTATAGAGGACAGCTAAGGGACAGATCCCTACTCCAGGCACGACAGCAAGAGAACTGGGCAACCTTGTCCTTTCAAGTAGCTTTGCCAAAAAAAAAACCCAACCCCGAAATTCAGAGCTGAGGCTTTGTCAAAAGGCAAAAAACCAGCACCCTCCTTCCTGGCCCCAAGCCCTGCCTCAGCTCCATCATCTGGGAGCCTCATCTCCAGGCCTGGCTTGGCCGGCGCACCCCACCTGTTGATGATGTACTCCATGTAGCTGATGGCGTCCTCGATGCGCCGCTTCTTGGTGCACAGAATGATCCGGTTGAAGTTGGCGTAGACCACCGAGGAGCCCAGACGCTTGAACTCAGCCACCAGCCTGCAGGCAGGGCGCAGGAGTCAGCGGGCAGCAAGGCAAAGCCCGAGGAGCACATGCAACCCACGGGGGACGTGCTGCTCCAGCACAGCCAGGAGATGCCATGCAAGGGAGCTCACCCAAACATATGGCAGGTCCAACCTACTGCCCACCTCTCTGGAGGCTGTGGCAGAGAGGAGTGACTGTGGGTGCCAACAGCATCCTGGTCACTAATACCATGCCTGTCCCTTCCCCATTTACCAGCGTGGTGTGCTCCAGGTCCCACTTACTGCAGGAAAAGCTTCTTCATCATGTTGTGGAGCGTGCGGTGCAGGGCCGGGTCGTAGAGCAGGGAGGAAGGAGAGCGGAGCCAGCGGTAAAAGTGAATGACCTGGTTGTCTGCGTAGACGTTGTGATACTGCGTGATCTCCTTCACCCAGCTCACCACCATGCTCTTCAGGATCCTGCCAGGGAGCAGAGACCAGTGTCACTCCACCAGCCACGAGCGATCCCTTCCCCTTTCCAGACAGGGACATGTTTTTGGAAATGCTGGAGGATTCAGAGCAGGAACTGTGCCAGAGCAGAGACCCCCGAGCCCTCAGCGCACAAGACACAGGGCAAATACGTGCCTCTATAACCTGGTGGAGCACAAAGAAAGGAGAACGGGAAAGGGCAAAGTCTTCATTGACATCCCATACATCTGCTGGCTGAGCCACCAGGCAGTTCTGAGCCCAGGATCTTCAAGAGTCTGTAGGAGAAGGTGCCTACCCTGCTCTTGAGACGTGAATTTATATTTATAGCACCCCAAAAGCCCCTCATTGCTGGCACGAGTCTGGGAAAGGCTAAAGCCAGGAGGGAATGGGCAGTAAGGCCCCTGAGGGGACCGGCCAGGATGGAGACCAGATGCTCCACCTCATGCTGGCTCCTAGAGCCATACCTGAAAGCGTTGGAGCAGAGGGCAGTTTCATCGTAGCTGGCTGGGATGTTGGCAGCTTGGTTCCCTGTCACCATGTCTTCCAGGGACGCCTGCTGAATCACGTCAAAGCTGATGCTCATGCTGGAGCCTCCTTCCATGTCGTTTATGTGGTGGGACTGCAGCACCGTGTTCACAGCCAGGCTCTGGATGTCCAGCTCCAGACACACTAACAGCAGACACAACCTCTCAGCAGGCAGGCAGGGTGAAGGACCAACAAGGACACCAGGACACCCTCTCTGCCCCTCTGCCAGGAGGGCTTTTCACAGTTACAAGAGTGTTGCTGCACCGAGCGGGGAGATGCTTTCACAGGTGTGACTGTCTTGACCAGCACTTGTCTTCCAACAAGACTTGGACCTACTAACCCTCTGGAGACCACTAGGTTTTTCTGGAAGCTGCAGCCGAGGAGCTCAGAAGAACTGACCACCACTCAAGCTGCTGCTGCCTCTGAGAAAGACCTGTCCTAGGGTCACCAGAGATGACCAGTTGAGCTAGCCTGTCCTTGAGCTGACACTTACAGGTGGTCTTCTGAGTGCTGCTGTCAGTGGTCATGAATTGGGAAAGAATCCGCGTTTGGATGCCTGCACACATTGCAGGTGAGACCTCCCTGCCCCAGGACACGTCCCTTGCACACACCTTGCCCAGACTGCTGCTGAAACACCAACACTGCTGTTGACTACTGTCAACGCGGAGACTCTTTGGAGACTGCATCCATCCCTCTACAGGGCTTGCAGAGCAGGATCCAGCTCTGCACCTGCCCAGCGCTCCCACCCTACTCCCTCCTCACCTGTGGAGTAGCAGCCGGGGTTGTTTATCTCCACAGAGGCTCTCTCATCAAACTCCATGACCAGGCGGTTGTCATCAGCCTCCTTTCCCCCCAGGTCTGGGCGGGCCGTGGGCGAGAGCCACAGCAAGTGGTTGTGACGACGGAGGTGGCGCGAGTAGAACAGGTCAGAGCCGAAGGTGGAGATGTCATCGGGGAGGTTCCCAATGGGGATGTGGTAGTACCTGGGGCACGGGGAGAGGGACAGTCATCAGGGTGAGCACCGCTGCAGAGAAGACAGGGACCCCTGCCTGTCCCCTCAAGGGACGAGACAGCCCCCCGTGGTCCCATCGAGGGCATAGCAGCTCCAGGGGAACGTGGCTGCCACGGGCACCTGGTCCTCTCGAAAGCTTGGGAGAGGCAGGGGGCCCG